GCGGTCCGCATGGTGTGGTGGTGGTTCGTATGGTGGTGGTGGTGGTCCGCATGGTGGTGGTGGTCTGCATGATGGCGTTTGTCCAGCATGTTAGTGGCGGTCTGCATATTGGTGATGGTCCGTATGGTGGTGGCGTACCGCATCTTGGTGGTGGTCCGCATGTTCGTGGCAGTCCACATGTTGGCGATACTCCGAATGTTGGCGGTGATCCAGCATGTTGGTGGCAGTCCACATGTTGGTGGCGGTCCACATGTTGGTGATGGTCATCATGGTGGTGGTGGTCAGCATGATTGTGGTCCACATGTTGGTGGCGATCCGCATGGTGATGGGCAACACGTATGGTTGTGGTGCTCTGCATGGTGGTGGCGATCTGCATGGTGGTGGCAGTCCGCATGGTAGTGGTGGTCCACATGGTGGTGGTGGTCGGCATGGTGGTGACGGTCCGCACAGTGGTGGCAGTCCGCATGTTGGTGGCGGTCCGCATGGTGGTGGCGGTCCGCATGGTGGTGGTGATCCGCATGTTGGTGGTGGTCGGCACAATGGTGGTGGACCACATGTTAGTGGTCTGCATGATGGTGGTGGTTTGCACAGTGGTGGTCGGCATGGTGGAGGTGATCCTCATGGTTGTGGTGTTCCGCATAGTGGAGGTGGTCCGCACAGTGGTGGTCCACTTAGTGGTGGTGGCCCGCATGATGGTGGTGGTCCAAAAATTTGGACTTTTCACCTTGAAAGTCAAGGTCATTTATTGATAAAGGTCAAGGTAAGTGTGGTCTACTGAAAGGTCTTGTCCCAAGGGTTGTTGTGGCCAAGTATGAAGACAATTCACCAAGAACTTAAAAAGTTATGTGAAAGTTTGTGAAAGGCAAAATAGCTATGGTAACGGCAACGGCAACGCCGCCACAACTATAACAATACCTCTACTTTTTGTTCAAAAAAAGTCGAGCTCAAAATGACAAAATAACATAAAGACAAGCAAGTTATACTCTTAAGTTTTGTGCCTGCATGTAAATGCTAAGTTATAAAAGATTATTCAGTAAAATAAGATGAAAAATAATTTCAGCCATATCTACATTAATGAAATATTTTCAAATTTATTAACATTTAGCTTATTATTTTCTTAGTGTTTCTCTATTGAAAAATTATTTGAATATTATCTTATGGAAGTAAAAAGAAGAAAAAAAAACTGAAGTCAGAGAAAGTGGTTCAATTGCAGGTCAATCGATCAGGCTATTCTATATATAATTATTATATTCTCATATAAATATAATACAACAGATACTTAAATGAGTCTCAGTGAAAAACAATCACCTATCTTTTAAACAGTGACAATATCCCATGCACATATGAAACATCAGGTTCAACAGTGTGTTCCAATATTTATTGAAATGTGCTATCTTCTTGTTAGTAAGCTACCAGAAACAAATGAAACATTTTTAGGCCTTGAGGAAAATTCTCTAGATTGACCTACAAAGAACCTTAGAATTATGCAATTGCTGTCTGAGTTCTAGGGCACAAACAGAAACAAAGCACATTGACCTCAGATCTCTGAAATTCAACCTTTTTTATGCATTACATATACATACATGTGAACTTTTTTTCAAGAGGGAGAATTTACTTCAAAAAGAGGGGGAATTTTTAATTGGCAGGAAACCAAATAAAGCTTAATACTAAGTCTTTATATATCTTGTATAATGTACTTAAGTTATTTCATAACATGTCATGACCTCAAATAATTTCATCAGAAAACAGCAGGTCATTCACATGTATGAAAAAAATTCCAACAGGAGTTGTTTCCCTTTCATTAAACTATAATTTGAAAAAGTGCAATGGTCTGCGGTATCTTAGCTTTAGCAATCCCTAAAAGGGGCCAATCAAATAAATATGAGCAGTGTTTATAAAAGATAACTATAAGAATGCTAATAACAAAGTTTGGTGATCATCCATCAATAAGTTCTGTAGAAAAAGCTGTCTAAAGGTTTATATTATTTTTAGCTCCCCTGACCCCTAAAAGGGGCCTATCAAATCAATATGAGCAAATTTGATAAAAGACTTCAAAAGAATGCTACAAACAACATTTGTTAATCATCCATCAATTGGTTCTGTAGAGGAAGATGCCTTAATGATTTTCTACTTTTAGGTCTAGAGACCCCTTAAAGGGGCCAATCAAATTAAAATGAGCAAATTTGATAAAAGACTACGTAATAATACTACAGACAAAGTTTGGTGATCATCCATCAATTAGTTCTCTAGATATAGATGTTTAAAGTAATTTCTATTTTTAGCTTTAGCAGCCCCTAAAAGGGGCCAATCAAATTAATATGAGCAAACATGATAAAAAACTACCCAAGAATGATACAGACAAAGTTTGGTGATCATCCATCCATTAGTTCTGTAGAAGAAGATATCTAAAGGTTTTTACTATTTTTTAGCCCTAGTGACCCCTTAAAGGGGCCAATCAAATTAATATGAGCAAACTTGTTAAAAGACTACCCAAGAATGCTACAGACAAAGTTTCGTGATCATCCATCAATTAGTTCTGTAGAAGAAGATGTTTAAAGGTTTTTCTATTTTTAGCTCTAATGACCCCTAAAAGGGGCCAATTGAAATGATATGAGCAAATTCAAGTGTGACTCTCACAGGGATGCTACAGACCAAATTTGAAGTAAATCTGTCCAGCGGTTTCAGAGAAGAAGACGATTGTTGACGCATGACGACGGACGACGGACGACGGAGTATCCCCCTTTGATACTAATAGCTCACCCCGAGCCTTCGGCTCTGGTGAGCTAATACAAGGTATCATATTTTTCATTCGATTTAGCATTCTTTAGTAAATAAATTGTCATTTTAATTATATAATAAAATTAACACCATTTCCTTCCAAAAAGGGATAGAAGAGATAAATAATGTAAAAAGAAAAAAAGGCAAAAAAAGTTGACATTTGTGGGGGATTCGTGTCACGTGACTTATGGCCAAAAATTTGAAAATTATTTGCTCTGATAAAAATAATGAAATAGTGAAATATAAAGTTGTTTGTTGGAATTATATTTTGGGTTAATGATAGGATAATGTTCGATGGTCTAAATTGGAGTAATAAAACTAAAGTTTATTAACAGGATAAGTTAAAAACTGGATTTTTATGTGTACTATTGACAATTTTACCTGTGAAATACCTGTGAATGTTTTACCTGGATTATATCACTATGCACGGACATAGCACGGACAATGGGATTATAGATCAGTAGATCGAGCGGTATGTTATTTTTGTAGATAAATATAAACCTGATAACTTCTACAAAATGCACAAATGCCTACAAAAAAGAAGGAAAAAGGTATCCCTCAAAAGGAAAATATAAACAATAACAAAACTAAAAAGAGAAAAAATGCGCTGGTTTCTCCTGACAATGTGAACGTAAATGCACTACCGGAAAAGCGCCCTGATTCCCGTATATCCCCTAGTGGCACAATGTCTTCACAACCTCAACCAGGGTATTTTCAACCAATGAACATGGCTTCTATAGGAAACATGAACAATTACCAAACTCAGTCTGGAGCTTTCTATACACCCCAACAGAATACGCCACCCCATACTCAATATATAAACGCGTCTCCACAATTTCAATCAAGTGGCCCCCAGACTAGCAACCAATACAATGAACACTTTCAAAAGTCAGTGCTTGACCAGCTGATGTCTTTGGATTAAACAAGTTAGACGCCATTGAAAAACAGTTATCTACCCTTTCTACAAAGTTAAGTAATATCGATACCCGAGTAACTGTTTTTTTAGAATGCTGTCAAATGTCTATGACGTTATTTATGTTTATATCTTTACATTATTTTCGAAACTGATAGAATAATGTAAAAAAGGTTATGCCGTTATTTAGCTTGATGACGTATTACAGAGGAATGAAAATATATGGTTTTGTAAACAAAATTGAAAATATAAAGATTGTTTTGTTACAAAATCCTTTCAAAATGCTACTTTCTTCTTATATTGATACTATATTACAAATTAAGCCCTTGAACCTGTTTCAATTGATTATGGTTTGTCACCTAGACACTCACTACGGAAATATATCAATTTAATAGGTACAGGTTATAAAATGCTTCAGTATTTGACATGTAGTCGTGTTTTAAGTTGAGGTTCAATTCGATAGTCAACGTCTAGTTCAAATTTTGTGCAATAAATTTATTTATATCATTTGTGTCACCATATGACTGTTCATGACACATCTATATAAACTTCAAAGATCTTATGTATTAATGTTGGTCATGTTTGTGGGGTTTAAAATGCTTAGATTCTCGCAAAAGTAACCGGTACTTCGGATATGGGAGGAGATGCAACAATAGTGCAACTGCTATCATCACTTAATAAGTGTGTAATCACATAAATGTCATTAGTGAACGTATCAACAATTTTGTAAATCTAAGCGTCTTATAAAAGATGAAAGGTCATATCAAACCGCGTTCTTTGGGCTTTGTGCGAATAACAGCCTGCTACGCATGTGCAGACATACTGCTACCTTTTGTGTCTGAGACACGGCTACGTATGTTATTGTCATACAAGCTATGTATCTTAGTGTAATACTGCTACATATGCGAGTGATATACGAACGAATGCGACGGACAAATTGTTTTCAGATATTGCTCATAAAGCACAAATTTAACTGACAAACTGCTACAAATATGGCTGATATTGAACGTATGTAACCTAATATAAGCATTATTCGTATCAGTAGAAGATACACTGCTATCTGCATAACATTCATACTGCTACTTATGTAACTCAAATGCTGCTATATATTTGTCTAACTTCTTTAAATGTGAATATACACTGCTTTGTAATTAACATTAATGCTTCGGATATCCTTTGTATGTGGTCGATTAGCTGCTTTGTTTGTGACGGACAAACTGCTATACAAATGTATATGTAACTGATAAGCTACGTATTAGATTGATATACTGCTGCGTATACGACTGACAAAATATAATAACATGACAAATCACAATATCATTTAATAATTCCCGTTTGCTCGCAAATTACATTTATTACGTTACATACATCTAAAATATGGTTAATGTCAACATGGTTTTGTTAATTTAGATGTTAATAAAAACAAAAGCAATCAATAAACAAAGAATGACTTACTACGACAGTCCAAGACTGCATTCATCTTGGAAAATATACCGTAACATAGACCAAGTTGCTTCAGTAATTAAAACATTTTAACATACGATTAGATACAAAAGTAGGCAAGTTGATTGATTCAATCATTTATTTCCTACTTCCACCATATACTCATTCATTTTTCATTAATTTGTTAATTCATTCAACCCATTCACAACAACATGTAAATAACATTGTGCAGTGTAAACAAGGTCACATACATACTCGTTCAAATATCAGCATAATAATGTTGCAGTTAAAAGAAAAAAGCAGGTAAAGTATATACATTTATCAATTAAATATCATAAGGGGTTTGTGAAGATAACAAAAATCATATTTATATATGAATACTGTTTTAAAATGGTGGCATGACCTAGTGGTAAACGGGTTTTTACTTGTGTTCTAAGGATGGATTGCTGACACAAATCGTATTGGATTAAATATATAAAAATATATATAGGGGTATAACTTAAAGTAAAGAATGATTCCTAATGCGTGTCATGTAGGATTATTATAATCAATATAACATGTCAATTTCTTAAAAGTATAACTTAATTATAGAAATGCGATAAAATAAGTATCTAGTATACTGAAAAAGTATGACTTTTCAAAAACAATGTGGTAAATATAACGACTAGATTTATATAATTACACTGAAAGGCAAACATAAACATAAATAGTTAAAGCATTAAAAATGAAATATGCCTTTCTCAGAAATAAAGTTTAACATGAGTCTTGAAATGGCCATCCGAAAAGGTGAGATCTCTCCCCGAAATAGTTGATAACTGCAACGAAACATACATAGCGCCTTTTGGATACTTCATAGTAAACTAAAATCAGATTTTTTTTTCAAAAGATTTTACGAGAATCTGGCAGCGGCTTCAAAGTTTTGAACGACTAGATGAACTGACAACTTAAGCCGGGTGTGAGAGGTATTACATAATAATATGATGCTATCCTTTCATGAATATTAATAACATGGCACAAAATCATTTGAGATCACGAACTATATAACTATACTTTCTTGTAGCAAACAAGGTTTCCATGTAACATACATACTAAAAATGTCAACACAGCAAAAGTTGTCACAAAATACATTTTCAGAATTTCAAGCCCCCCCCCCCTCCCTTGTTGATCTTGATTTTCATATTCAATGCAAAGCACATAGTAGATTAAACCAAAACAGTTCAATTGATAGATTAATTATTATGATATCATAAAAGGCTTAAACAGTAAACTGTAATTTTAAAAAGACACGTATTCACACACTTTTGTTAAAGTAATGGTCATTCAAGTTGAATAGATTCATATGTTGCTTCATCTTTTGTATCGGGAGTAAGATCTGTATATTGATGACATTCATCGTCAGTTGCATTTATGTTTACTCTCGCTAGTTCAGTTGTTGCTTCTGTTGCTTGTTCATACGTTACAGGCTCTGTTTTATTCGTTTCATTTACATAAGCATCATCCTTGGTTCTAAAACATTCAACAAGACCATTATACAATAATCATTTATTGAAAAGGAAATATAAGATTCAATATTGATCATATGTTTTTAATACAAGTCTTCCAGAAATCACATTTGTCAAGATATTTATACATCACAACATAAAGTGTTGTGTGGCACCCGCAAAAAGTTGCCCCGTACTTCACTTCAATCTTGCTTTATTTTTCTGGTCCTTTAAGATCATTGGAGCAAACATTTTTGAGTGTTGAGAATTGAGTACAGCACATGCTAGTGCTAAGGGGCGTGAATGATGTTGCATTATTTTCATTGTCCCTTATGTACAGACTCAATCAACCAAGTCTGCAATTGTCATGTAATTTTGCTGTTTTTATGCTTCCGACTTTGTTCCAGATATTTGAACTTTATTATGACTTGAAGCAAACCAATGTCAAAATAAAAAGGCAAAATAGCACAGCAAATTATAGTTCTTTTTGTTAAAAACAAAACCGAATCGTCCTTTTGCATATTCAATGCAAATAACATATTCGTTTTTATTATATAATCTATAAATAGCTTTGAAATGCCTTTCCTTGATTGGCTAACAAGCAACTTTTTGTAAAAAATTAACAGGTCAATATCAGAGTATATTCACTGTTTTTTTCCCTAAAATAGATTTTCAGAGTATATTCACCGTTTTTTCTTCTAAAAATACATTTTCTGGAAATCCCACTAAAGACGCGAGAAAATGACGTGACGTCATGTTAAGTTTGTTGTTATAACAGAATAAACATTTAGTGACTCTCATATAAGAGACAAATAAGTCTATTTTAGTGACCAACAACAATACAAATAAGCGTGTCAATGCGCTTATTTAAAAAAGAAAGGGCCAAACTATGGAAAAAGTAGATGAAAAATGGCAGATTTGATAAACCATATAAAAGCTATTTATAAATTATATAATAAAACAGATATGTACTTTTTAGCTGTTGAATATGATGTGATATGTACTGAAAAATTAATATTGACCTCGGCTATCGCCTCGGTCAATATTATTTTTTTCAGTACATATCACATCATATTCAACAGTTAAAAAGTCCATATTTGTATAATATTGGATATGCTACAATTTTTAAGATGGAAATATTTAAATATTCATATGTTATCCAATACTAAATTTTCATCATGTAAAGATGTCAATATCAAGGTCAAATTTTATGTAATATCGGATTATAGCTAGATAATCTATGGTTAAATCACTCATTAATATAGTATTATGAGACGAGAAACACTAAATTTACCTTCCGCTGAAACCGTTACTAGTCTCTTCTTTTCCTTTAAAATGAATTCAATAAATAAGGAAATGAATGTATTATAAAATATTGAAAACAATGCGCCAATATTCATATGTGTCGCTTTTTATTTGATGAAATAATTGTTAATACATTAATATATTATTCTTTAAAACAGTTTACTTTTAAAGGGATACTCAGGCAAATAAATAACAAAAATATCAAAATAATTTAATGTACTCATATCACGCTAAAATGACATTTTCTTAAGTCCAATCATGGATTTCTGTATAAATTCTATATATTTTGCGTCTGAAGCGTAAATATATCTATCTTTATTGAACGAAAATTTGACGCCGACAAAATCACGAGATAGTGTTAAAACAAGCCATGTGACTTGAACAAACCCAGGAAGTTACAATATATAAATAACACATGGGTTTGTGGGTAACAGTAAAAATATCATCCCGAGGAAAATACTGTTACCCGAGGCGTAGCTCTAACCTGACACACGTGGTTCAAATTAGGAAACCACCATTTTATTCTTTATAAGGAGTAATGTTTTGTTCCTATGATTGCCTAGTGTATTTATTTTGATGACATTTACAGTGTAATGAATGAAAAAATCAAAACGAAGAAATAAAAATTTTGCCTGTGTCTCCCTTTAATAAAATTTGAGTTTCATTTTTATGATGAAATTTCAATTAATTACAAATGTGTATATACGTGGATATGTGTTTATATACTTAAACACGAAGATAATTTCATTTTGTTTCAATATTATTATATTTGTTCTTACTGATAATATCGTATATGTAGTGACTCAAAGAATACAAACTTACCGTTTTGTGTCGCCTTACGTTTGAACAAGATTGTTATTACTGTAGCGTACACAGCAAGAATCACACAAAGGATTCCGACACATATAAATGCTTTGTTCAGCTTTGGTGTTTCTTGACATCTTGTTGACTCTTCTCTGTCACTTAGAATTATGTCTGAAACTGTACATTTTAAACATTATCTTCATCATTGAATTGAATAAAAAGTTTGATATTTTGATCAAGTATGTTATGTGATACCTTCATTGGCAAATGACAGAATTGCATGTTTCTATTATATTTGTAAATAAATAGACAACATTAATAATTATAAATATTCTTAAAATATCAAATGAAAAGTGTAAGCCTATCATGCTGTAAATACATTAGATACGTCTAGACTGTAATTTCTAAATTCTTATTGTAAAAGGAAACAACAACAAAAGTGAACTAAAGTTACCCTTTTCACAGAAATGACCCGTCCAAAATTGACGGCACTCATCACACGTCCCGTTAATTTTATTACAAATTCCTTTACAGTTGTCACTGCAGATAAATAGACAGGAATTACCGTATGTTCCATCTTCGCATTCTTGAAAAAAACGAAAATGGCAATTTAAACATTGTTTTAATACCTCAAATATAATATATGCAATGTTTAAGTATAAACAAAACGTTTGTAACCGTTAAACGAAGCATTTTGAACTTTTAATGCCCTTTACCACTTTGTGCAATGAAGGGTTTTCAGGTAATGTGTCGGATATGACTTTTCCTTGGCACAACAATTGCCAGAATGCCCTTTTCCACTGTGTGCAGTTTTAACTAATTATGTCCAAAGTTTCAGATTACGCTCCGGACAAGATTTTTCTAAAAGGGGATACAATCTACAAACGGGGCAAATTACAGATATGGTTCTTTGGTACTTCATTCCGCCTGAATGTCCTCTACTACGTGCAGTTTAAACAAATTGCTTTTTAGGGTTTTCAGGTTATTCACCGGACAAGAGTTTTCTAAAAAGGGAGATGATTCTAAAACGGACCAAAAAAAGAGATAACGTTCTTCCACTGTGTGCAGTTTAAACAGTATTCAGATTATGCTCCGAACAAGTAAACGGGATATAATTCAAAAACTCGGCAAAATAGACGTATGGTTATATTGTGCTGTACTCCGCTTAAATGTACTCTATCACTTTGTAGTTGAAACAAATTATGTCCAAAGGTATTCAGGTTATGCTTCAGACAAGATTTTCTAACAGAGAAGATAATTCAAAACCGGGGAAAATAGAGTTATGGTTCTTTGGCATTGCACTCCGTCTTAATGCCCTCTGCCACTGTATGTCATAAACATATCATGTCCAAGGGTTTTCAAGTTATTCTCCGGACAAGCACAACGGACTGACAGACGAACAAAGTGGCGACTATATGCCCTCCCTTCGGGGAGCATAAAATCGATCCAAAACAGCATTGAATTGTTCAAATTTTTCTTTAAGTTTAAAAACTAGGTTTGAATATTACCACAATTTTATTAAACACATGACTGATTTCAGATATACATTTATCACTTTACACTCTAATATAGCTTTAATAAAAAAATACCAGAGTGGCAATCCCTTGTCTTCTTATAACCAGCAGCACATCCATCTTGACAATATCCATTCACATGATTACATGGCGAGGTTAAACATTTCCCACAAACATTTGTACAGTTTATGCCCCATCTACCGTCGTCACATTCTGTAAATATGTTAACTATTTTATACAAAAGGTAACTAAAAAAGAGGAATTATAATACATATATAGAGGATATTAAATTAGTGTAGGTTTAATATTAAATTTATTAAACGAGTTGAATGAAATCATATTATGCAAACCTCTGGCGAGCATAATATTGTTTTATCACACACCCGTGCCGATTTTGCGACTCCGTAAATATGGTATTGCACGGCCTTGCATATATTTTGACGTGAAGTCATTAGCATTACATAGCGTAAAGACGCGCTAAATGTTAGCGTTATACTATTGGCGCGTCATTGAAAAATGACTCTTATATATTTCACTTTTTAATGTCTTTAATTTAGGTATGTGATAGATAGAATATTAAATTCGTGTAAGTTCATAACTGAATTTATTGAACTCGTTGAATAAAATAATATTGTGCTCGCCAGAGGCTCGCATGATATATTTTTATTCAACTTGTGCAATAAATTCAGAATTGAACTTACGCTCATTTAATATCCTCTATTTATTCAACGAGTTCAATAAATTAAATATTAAATCTACAGGAATATTATATTCTATTTATCACATATTCAAAAAGAGGAACGGTTTACACCTAAAACGAGTCTTTTTTCATTGACAGTGTAACGCTAACATTAGCGCGCTTTAACGTTATGTGTATATACAGCGCAAGTGACGCCACGTCGTAGTGTTATTACACTTGTGATACATCGTTTTTATTAAATGGCTTTATTACACTCTCGCGCCGCGTTTTATGTGATAAAAGATTTACTGAACTAGATTGTACATTGTGAAGCGGCATGAATGTAAAGAAAGTTTCGCGTTATGAATATCGCACATTATTTTGTATTGTGTATTGTTTTATATCGAATACCTAAATAATATTAATTTAAAAATTAATATGTATAACAAGCGCTTTAATTTTTTTTATTAATTTTATTTTTTATCTTAATCACTACTTTATCATTTGCTCGATAAAATTATTCAAAAAAGGCACATAACTTAAAAGTGTTGCATTTATTACCGTCGTCCAAAAAGAGTAAACAATAAGGTTCATAACGAACCTGTGATCATTTTACGTTCCACTGAGTTAACGACCTTTTCAATGTTATTTTTCATATTTCGGGCTAAAATAAATGCACTGAGATTAAAATTTAGCTTCGAAAATTCAGTAAATATTTAATCTCCTATTAGGTTCAGTTTCAAAGAAAAAACAACCATATTCAAATAGACATTTGACATTTTCATGATCACATATTTCCTTTTAATATGAAACATTGTACATGATCAGTTAAAGTTTATACAAGACAATATTTTAGTGTTTCTTCGCCTTGATATGCACTAAGTGTTTTGACCCAAAGTGAATTATCAACAAACGTCAAGAATTTTCAAAATTTACTGTTAGATACTAGACAGATACTTTCTTTATTTTTCTAGTAAAAGTTACCTATTTAGGAGTCATTCTTAAAATATAAAATACTCCTATGTGAGTCAGTAGTAAGTATACGAGACGAAAGCAGAGGAAACGTTAACTTTCAGAAAATAAAATTCCGCATCTATTTTCTATAAGACTTGTGAAAATGCATGATACTGTGGCATTTTATTACAACCCACAGCAAAATTTGTGAAATATCTTAATATAAAGGTAAAGAAAATATCAAACCTCCTTTTGTAGCTTATGGAATAAGCAGCATAAAAATTATCGTCTCCAATGTTATTTATTCATTTTTATATGCCCGAAAGAATTTATGTTAAAACCCCCTGGCGATCGTCCGTCTGTCCGTTAGCAATTTGGTTTCCGGAGCATAACTTAAGTTCAATTAAGCCCACAATATTCAAACTTCATAGAAAGATTGTCCATATTAGGAAAAAGACCACTATTGATTTTGGAGTCACAAGTCAAAAGTTCAAGGTCACCATTACCTTAAAACTGAAAACAGTTTCCGAGCATAACATAAGTTCCATTTGGCCCAGAGTGTTCAAACTTTATAGGATGATTGTCCATATTGATAGAAGACCCCTATTGATTTTGGGATCACTAGGTCAAAGGTCAAGATCACTATTACCTTAAAACTGTAAACAGTTTCCGGAGCATAACTTAACTTCCATTTGGCCCACCGTATTCAAACTTCACTGGTTGATTGTCCATATTGGGTAGAAGACCCCTATTGATTTTGGAATCACAAGGTCTAAGGTCAAGGTCATTTTTACCTTAAAACTGTAAACAGTTTTCGGAACATAACTTTAGTTCCATTTGGCTCACAATGTTCACTTCATAGGAAGATTGTCCATATTAGGTAGAGGACCCCTATTGATATTGGGGTCACAATGTCAAAGGTCAAGGTCACTACATGTATTACCTAAAAACTAAAAATAGTTTCCAGGCCATAACTTAAGTTCCATTTGGCCAACAATATTCAAACTTCATATGAGGATTGCTATTTGAAGGAGCTAATACTTTATTCAATTCCCATGTCTAACAAATGCTTCATCCTTATTAAAAAAAACAACACTTTCGGGCATATTATGTTCCGCCTAGCGGTGCTCTTGTTAATTTTAGTTTTATTAAATATTTATTTGCTTGCGCCAGTGATAGCGATACGGACAGAAGCTCAAATGTACCACCTCATTTCATAATAATGCCCTATCAAACCGAGCCTTCATCGTGTTTAATTGTGTCGTTTAAGGTGTTCTTTAAGTATTCCGTCATTTCTATTTTACACATTTGCTCAAGACTCACTTTAAGACATTTATCGTGCCAATAAATGGATCAATAGAACATCCAGCTTGGTTTTAATATAATAATAACTTACAATAACTATTAAATTACATTAAATTATTTTACATACAACATGGTAAGACATGTAAGATTTAACTCTATAAAACTTAGAAATAAGATTAAAACAGCATACTTTTGTCACAATGGGATCTTTGAAATCCAGCGTTGCAACCATTTAAGCATGTGCCGTCCACGTTATCGCATATTGCATTCACCCCTGACCTTAAACAGTTGCTGTTGCATTTATTCTTACAGTCTTTGCTAAAAGATCCATTATCACAATCTGGAAAAAATCGTTTCAACTTGTTTCCTTTGTTTTCAAAATAGATACAATAATTTGCCAACCTGCTTTTAACTATCAAAAATTATCACGGACTCTGGTTAAAATGTGTTTCTTCCGAAGCAATAATCACAACACAATTACATTGACAATGCAAACACTGTTTGATTGAGTTTGTACATGAGGGATAATGTAGAAGTGCAACATCCCTCACGCCCCTAGCACCGGCAAGAGCAGTTTTCAATTTTCAACAGTTAAAAGTGCTGGAATCCATCATCCCGAAGGACCAAATAAATTCAACAACACTGAAGTGAAGTACAGGGCAACTTTTCACATCTTCTTTACAGCACTTGACATGCTGTTGTGAAATATAAGAATCTGGATAAAAAGTTATCCTTCGGAAGCATTAACCACAACAAAATTACATGAAAATTGCAGAAACGGCTTGATTGAGTCTGTACAATAAATTCATAAATAAAAGTAACGATTTTTTACCGCCTGTTCCTAAGAAAAAAATGGTTTGATTATTGTGTCGTCGTTATTGTCGTCGTCCAATTTTAGTGCAGCTCATTACTAGAACAATCTCTAAGGTGATCAATGTGAAATTTTGAAAACTTTTTTATCATGTTAAGAGCAAGTTGTAAGATAAGGACATTATTCTGAAAGCTATACTTTTTATGTTATGCACATTCTTAACTGAGATTCTTTTGTAAAAAATGCTTATTATTAGTAGCATGATTTAAAAACAATCAAAGATATGAACTGGAAACTTTTAATACTTGGTTGACATGACAAGGCACAGTTGTAAGATAATAGTCAGTATCCTGAAAGCAGCATATATAAAATCGAGATACACTTCTTGTAAAAAGTAATATTTATAACAAATAATGATTGACTGTGTCGAGCGTTCACAGCACAACGATGTTTTTGCTTGAGAGAATACAAAAAAGGTGTGTACATCATATTATAGCTAGCTTGCTTATAAAATATTAAATAATTTACAGCTCATCTTGTTATTAAGACATTAATAACTGTAAATATTAAATAGAGTTGTCAACCAAAAACCTAAACAGTGCTTAATATAGTTTGTATCCATTTAATTTCAGATTAAGTCGAACTTATTACTCAGCAAATCTTAGTGCAAATATAATTTTCAAGAACTAGCCTATTCTAATGTTTAAAGTTACACTTCGTTAGAAATTCAATAAGTTACTGACAGAAGAACTAAATGTCACCTGGTTGATATGAGGGTACAGAAGACAACCTCATCAAATCCCGATAAAAGAAACATCCATGTTTTAAGTAAATGAGCATAAAAATTTCGGTGAAAAAATGAATGTGTTCATTCTAAATTAAATGTTTAACCTTAAAAATCTCTAGTTTGGTAACTGAAATATATGTACATTGTATTTAACAACCACACTCTCCAGTGTGTGCACTGTGTACATGGGGTATACAATTTATTTAAAACAAATCCTTTACTAAAAAGGTCTTTCAGGTCCTCTGCTTTGATAAAAGCGATTGTTAAACAATACGCGAATGTTTAAACAAAAAGCAAACTAAATATAATCACATATGATCACCGTCATCTTTAAGTTGTAGCATTAACTTAAAGGTCGCATGGTAAATCAAAATATACGTAGCTATTTTTCTATAAAAAAATATCATAAGACAATTACTAGCATATTTCTAACGATATTTGTCATTAGTGTCAAGAGACAGATTAAGTCCTGTCTCGGGGCCATTGGTGTTTCTTATAATATTTATATAAACACTTTATAAACGCTCTTCCCTGAAGCCCAAAAGATAGACCTTGAGCATGGAGCAGTAACATGTTGCATTTTAAATGGACCCCTACCAAGTATGTCCAAATGATCACAATGGTGAAAAGGTTTTTTTTTATATGTGAAATGTCCATAAATTCTTCAACGTTCTTCTATAAATTTTGAAAATAATCAGCCTTGAAATTTAGTCTGAATAAAGGTACAGGTACATCAGTTTATGAACTTAGATAATGTGCAGTTTTTGAAATTTAGTAACAGTTTGCCTTCATTTTGACATAATGCATGTTTTCATCAGTGTAATATGCCTCATCATTTAATGTCTTAATAACAAGATGAGCTGTAAATCGCCATCGTCCCAATTTTATTAATGGTTGCTCTTATGGAAACTTTAAAATAATGTTTGTTTTAAGGCCTACATCTTAAATATGTTGCATGAAACATGCGATAGATTATTTTTACCCAGTCTGTTCAAAGTATAACTCGTCGGGATAAAATTTACTTCGTATTTGGTTCACAGTTGCGGTCGATAGTTCAAACTTTTAAATCTTTAATTTTAAATTTTTAATCTTAAATATAATTTGAAACTGTTTGGTAATCAAGCAGTTACCTTGTTTTTTTTTAATTCAGGAACAAATTATTTCCTATTATTCAATCATTTATTTGTTTTCTTTGAATTCCTTATCAGTTACTAATTATTTATCATTTTAGTGATTAGCAATTCCTTATCAGTTACTAATTATTTATCATTTTAGTGATTAGCCTGTCCGTGCTCTGCCTTGTGCCCTGTCCAGTTTTTGGTTTGGGGTCCGCCTGGGCTCCTTGCCGCTGGTTCTTGTTACTGGGTCATGAGGGGGTTGCGTTCATTGAACTTCCTTGTTGATCTTGTTTATCATATTTCATATAGCTTTTACCTTTTATATTCCGTCATTTGATATATCTGAACATTTTTTTAAAAATAATTTCTATTATTCAAGCCTTTATATTGATCGTTTCTTAATGGAGCTATCTGTTTCAACATAAGATATGATAAATATGTTTTTTATTTGAATGTTATTATAATAAATAAAGCTTTTTCTATTAGTACTATTATTAGTAAACAAATTATCTATATAATATGTTTAAATACACCTAGTTACTTTCAGTGCATCTTCGTGATTTAAAGCCTGGAGCACATCCTTGTTCACATACACCATTGGTCTGATTACACACAGATTTATCACATTTACCACAATCATATGTGCAGTTTGAACCCCATTTACCATCGTCACATTCTGTATAAAGCACAAACAAATCGCAAGATAAATAAATTTTCATGTCAGTAGGCCTAGAAAAAGTCGATGCGTTACTTTAGTTTTATCATCAAATTAATAACTGGATTATAATAAGCATACTCTATACTTAATACAAAATAATTGATGTGCATAGGCATCAAAGATCAAATTACAAGTACTCGTTTTTAACAATTTATTCTTGATATAGCATATAAAAGGTTCCTAAATTTCATAAACGGCGTACCTTTCTCACAAAAAGAGCCTTCATATCCAGCTTTACAACCACTTAAACATTTGCCATTCATGTTGTTGCATATATTTAAGTTCCTTGACCTTTCGCATGTACTACTGCATGGACGGCTACAGTTTTTACCATAATATCCAATACCACATACTATAAATAGAGGTAACCGTTAACTAAAACAAGACCCACCGCCTGGCCGGGTCAACGCTCGTCTCTTTGTTATTCTCTCTAAAAGCAAACAAAGCAACAATAAAAATAAAATCTAAGAAATAATACGTTTTTTGCTTTGTTCTTGGGCCTGTCTTGTCACAATTGTTCTTTTCCCCAAGTATGAATATTTTTTTATAAATAAATGACAAAGTTAAGAAAATGCAAGCAAAATTCAATCATCTGACGTGTACGGTCAAGGTCATTTAAAGGGTAAGGTTATATCTGGATTCACCAACATGTCCGTTTCAGCACAAGTATTGTTTTGTCCACGTATAGTTCGTACATATTAAAGCACATTACGACAATTCATCCAAAAATTGAATAAATTGACCTCAACGGCCTAGGTCATTTCAAGCTCAAGGTCAATGTCCGTTCAACTTTTTTGAAGGCTTTATCCAAAAGGTTGTTTTGTCCAAGTATTAAGAAAATCCATCGATAATTTACCAAAAAAACAGTCAGTTATAGCAATAATCAGTGAAGATTCAATAAGTTGACCTTCTTTGTCAAAATCAGACACGGGGCAAGGTTTTATATACATGAACGTCTAGACTTCAAAGATGTTTTGTCTAAATATAAAGTTTATCCATTTATAAACACCAAAGTTATAGCCATTTACAGGGGGGAAAAACAAAAGAATTTCGTTAATTTGACCTTGGCGGTCAATGTCAATAAAAGGTCAAAGTGACTTTTAAAGTATTTGATATGTTTTATTAGCAAAGATCATTGACGATTCAATAATTTAACCTTAAATGTCAACGTTTTCAATAAGCCAAGGTCAATTTGGGTTTAATAAACACGAAGGTCCTATACTTATATAAAATCCATTCATTATTTAGTATCAAAGTTATTGCAAGTTCAAGCAGTATAAAGGAAGAAAATTTCAATAATTAAGGTCAAGGTCATTTATAAATGCAGGTCAAGATCTATCTTGTTAACTTGAGTGTTGAAATTTGAAGACAATCTATTTCAAATAACAAAGTAGAGTCAACAAAAATCAAGCAAAATTTAGACATTTGACCTTGAAGTTCATGGTTATTTATGAATGAAGTTTAGTTTGATCTTCTTGAAGGTATTGTCCAAAGGTTTTTGTTGCCAAGTAAGATGGCAATACATCAAGAACTTAAAAAGTTATGATCATGGTTACAGTTTGCGAACGGCAACGGCCATCACTGTAACAATGCCTCTATTTTGTTTTCTTCCGAAAAAAAGACGACCTAAAATTGATTAAAATATAAGTAACTAGCTGAATAATGCTTGTACAATATTTGATTAAGCATACATAAAACATGAAAAAAATGGAAAAGTTATATACAAGTATTTGAACTGATTCATAGGTCTCATTGTGAACAGAAAGCGTAAATTATAATAAATATTAAATAAAAATCAAACTAGAAATTGTCACAAGTGCCGAATACCTCCGCTTGTCAGAAAATGTGATTTTTATGTTTGTCATGCATCAATAAGATAAATTAAAGTTTGGATTTGAAGTGTTGTTCATGATTTAAGGGCAATGCGTTTTTTCTCTTTGATACTTCTTCATTTCGACTCAGTGAGATCTATCTACCTACATAGTTTCAAATTGATACCTTTATAGTATTCAAGTTATGTCCTGGACAAAGTTCAAAGTGTAAAGAGTTATGGTTCTTTTGCACTGCACATTTACTCAATGAGATCTATCTACCTACAAAGTTTCCTGTTAATCTCTTTTCTTGTTTTAGAGTGATGTCCCGTACAACGTTCAAAGTGTAAAATAAAAACAGGGCAACAACTCCAACATAAGTAAGACAGAGTTACAGTTCTTTTGCAATACACTTCTACTCAGTGAGATCTATCTACCTGCAAATTTTGATGTTGATATCTTTTATAAAAGTTATGCAACAATTTTAATTTGCACAAAAAAAAGAAGAAGAAGAAAAGATTTTGATTTATAACGATCAAAATGTGTACAAGAAGCTGGAAGTGAAACCATCATTTCAAAGCATATAATAGAACATACATAGATATTTTATTTTGACAGTAAAATAATAGTAACAAACTCGTGAACATTTAAATGTGACACATGTAGTACAGTAAGGTGGTTTAAAGCCACCAGAACACCCTCGTGGACACTTCGCTGTAATATGATCACACGTTAAATTATCACATTTACCACACTTTCCTAGACAATCTTGACCCCACATATCATTTTCACATTCTGTAAAATCGAAAACTTAATAAATAATAAAGTGGTAAAATTAACACACGGAGAGGCATTTGTCTTCATTTGTGATTTTAGTAGAAATTAATTTTTGTTTTTCTATAAAAAGTAATTGATTTGATATGTTATTTAAAGTTGAATACCAAAATGATAATCTTTAAAGCAAAATAATTTTATGTTGAACGCATATATAATATTATTGTTATAGCTCTCCAGGCTTGTGCCTATATAAATTTCTATAAATACGGCATTATCATCCTTTTTTGATATTTTATCCAAAATAAAATATCGAAGTTATAACCTTGAAATAGAAATACTTTTATGTTGAAAACATAGTTACGTAATTATAGAATACTTCACATGAATTTGCCTTCTTAATTCCCCATATTTGCATTATTATCACCCTTTGATAATATATAAAACTGGTGCTTGATAGTTTTTTTGTTCTTGATAATAACGGGAGGTATCATTATGAACAAGACAAATGAGCAGAATGTCTGTTGAAGTACTGCAAAGTTCGAGGCTTGTTTCTTTTTAATATCATCTTAATTCTTAATTTTATAAAGTAATTATACTTTTGGTTAGATAAAAGAATTATTTTTGATAGAAAATATCATTTTTGAAAACATTCAGCCCTCCGCCCGAAAGTTTCCAAGAAATAACTTGCACGTGGCGACCGTATGTTATAATTGCCTTGGACTATTTTGATGTCAAATTACTCATTTGATATCAAATATACTTATCAGCTTTATCGGTCAGTTGCAATGACAGTTGCATATTGAAATAAAACTACCTTTGCATGCAGTACTTCGGAAGTGGAAATTTAAGTCTGCATAACACAGATGCTTGTTGGAAAACATAACTTCTGGCGTTGAGATAAATTGTTCACAAATTTGCCTTGAAAAAATACCTGATTGTTAATCTTATTATAGTTATAACTAGAATATGGTCGGTATAAAATAATAAACTTTAAAAAGATTTCATACATATATTGTAACTGATATTATAGATGAAAACGCAAAGTGGTTTGTAATAATAAGAAAAAAGGTGTAGATATGTTGAAAAGAACTTACTTGTTTCACAGTGATCACCTTTCCAACCCGGTGTACAACCTTTTAAGCAAAGCCCATTGTTTGAATCGCAGTACTGATGTCCCGAAGATTCGCAGTTGTCGCTGCATTTTTGACAGTCATTTCCATAAAAACCATTTAAACAGTCTGTCAGAGGTAAGAACACTTTTAAGTTATTATCAATAGAACTTTAAAATTTGAAAATTATTTCACTTTGTCTTTCTATTATAATTTTAGGTTATCAAAATTTCGAGTAAAACATAACTAAAAGTTAACACAAAATCGTCACAATAAAAAGATAAAAATACTAATAAAATAATAAAACTTTCACCTCCGTATAATCGAAAATCACAAAGTACAAGTTGATCTCTTTTTCTATGAAGTTGAACTCTTATTAGATTTCCGACAGGATATCCATCACATTTGATGTTAATCTTTTTGCTTTGTGGTTCAGACTTATTATGATTATTACAAACTATTCCTTTTGACACTGTCCGTTTCTTTTGAAAATTCAATTCGGTTGTATTGTACACTTTTACCTCAAAGTAAGGAAAATGACCTATAGTAAAATGAAATAAAAAGTCATTAACAAAAACAAAGACCTAAGGTTCTAGAGTCCATTGTCAGTCAAAGACTAAAAGTGCAGCAGAATGGTTAAATTTGATAATGGGTCCAAAAACCGGAAGTTGCAAGAGTTGAGTGATATATCACAAACATAACCATGTATATTCATCTATATGTTTAATAAGTGAACTTGACAACGACAACTCCTACAGGTCGACTCGTACGTAATATTGTTGAATATTTGAATTAGAATAATACATTCATATATCATGTGTCTATATTCTAATAGCTTAGCCTTAACACAAAAGGGTGAAAATGTAAAAAAAAAAATCGATCGAGATTTCAGTGGACATAATCCTAATATTCGACGTTAATTGGACATTGTATGGCTAAACAAGTATGTTTTAAACAGCAATATATAGTCAGAAGCGTTATTCGAGACACAACGACGCCCGTTTAAAAAACTAGAAATTGGTGTGATCTTGAAATTTTGCAAAAAAGTAGGACATACTACTAAGGCTACAACAAGAAAATGAAATTAACGAAGGATAATCAATTGGTCAGCAGGTCACGCGCTTTCAGGTGGCGCAAGTAATTCAAAAATGGCGAGTATAAGATCACGGACAGAGATGGGGCTAGGGAGAAAGGGACGACTTGTCGAGAAGTTAGCAACGTCAATTGCAAATTTGCTACAGGTGGGGTCGACCAAATGAACAGTTTGCGAGCTGTCTGGCATGTTTTTCTACATCGGGCAATATTTAAAACTGTATTTTATTTTATTTATCAGGAGAAATGCGTATTTTCCATAAATGTTATGAGGTTTCACAGTAATTTTAGCAATACATATGTTTGTTCGATATATTGTTGCCTGTGTGCAGTAAATTGACGGAAGAGATAATTGTTTCAATTGATATTGTATTTTACTTGACTATATTTAATTATATTATTCTATAGATTGATAAAGTTTCTAAATTGATATTTTACCAATTTTACTCGCTTCACAAGTCTATGTCCAATGATTGCCGAATTTATAAAACACAATCCAATAAAGAGCGGATAGTTGCCAGCTTTCTATCCGTTATGCAGAGAATAGAGCGAGAGGGTGACCGCCGTATTTCTCGCTTCATCAGAGCAAAAACTGGTTATAGTTAAATCATCCAGTGACATTGAACACTCGGAAGACGATTCAAGACAATGACACTGGTGACATACTTTTAACATTGTTATTTTCATTAAATTGTTGTATGTGAACATATTGTTTTCATTTTTCACTGTATGTTAAGAACATATTCATATGTATGTCTCTTCTAAAATTGTGTACGCAAATTATAAAAATGTTAGATAGAGAGCTGGAGTACACCACTTCTTGAACATTCCTCGTTTGCTAAATACTTGAAATTATAACATGAAACAACAGTTATTTCTTCTTGTAAAGAAACCCAACTCATGCATAATAACAAGTTGTGAATTCAAAAGCAAAATAAACAACATACATTATTTTATATGCATATTTGCACAATAATGACGAAAAGCATAATGCGGCCCATTTTGATGTACTTGATGATTACATATAATACAAAACCTATTATATTTCACACTTGAATCACCATAAAATCAAAGCTAACTTACTCAGATGACTGTCTACAGTGACAAACTCAAGTTTCTTGAATGTTGTGTACTCCGATAACCAAAGGTTCCACCAAGGTGCAATAGTACTATCATCAGACGTATAGCTACACGTTGCTAAATTGTCATCATTAGCTTCGTCAGAATAGTGTGGTGGAATGGTATTACTGACTTGACGTGACAGTTTCTTGTATGCAATATTTTCTGGGAGAAAAATAAAACAGAAAAAGATATGTGATAAAATGCAACTAAATAGTAAGAGAAAGCACACAATTTCTATTACAATTTGAGGTAAGATGCCGCTATAACAAGTACTTTTCTTCACAACTGAGAGAGAGAGAGAGAGAGAGAGAGAGAGAGAGGGGGAGAGAGAGAGAGAGGGAGAGAGAGAGAGAGAGAGAGAGAGAGAGAGAGAGAGAGAGAACAGTAAAACATAATTTTTGTAATGTATAATCTGAAAACTTTAAAAAGTCTATGCTGTAAATTTAAAGGCCCTTTTCTACAAAATACACTTTTAAATTAATTGATAGTTGTTAAATGTATCAACTGTAACTTATTTGGTCACTACTATTACAAAAGCAGTCGTTACAGAAGAGACTGTAACATGAGTGACATATGTAATTTAAATCTCAGTAAAAGTTATAACAATGTATCCCTTATAGATGTGAATCGTTCTTAATGACTGTTTCCACATATTTCACAAAACTCTCATTGGGACTGTAAAAGCACTGTACTGACAATTAAAAAACACTACCCGTTACAGAAGTGATGGGAATAAATGTTACGCAAGGACTTGCCAACAGAAGTTTGCATTTTGCAAAATATGGAAACAAGACAATCTCCTGTGGCAGCGCGTGTTTATTTGTTAGAGACTTCTCTTTATATAAGGGACATTGTTATATTTTAGTAGCTAGAAATCAGTTATTATTTTTAATGATTATGATTATGTTACAGAGTGACATAAATCTTTGGGACAAAATATAATACAAAACAGTTGTCAATGTGTGTTATACATCATAGTTGACTGGATTATACATCAAAACAGTTATTTTGACACTAGAATTGTCATTTATTTCATAAAATTTTCACAAATGCTGATTTTTTCGTATTGGGTCAGCACTACTTGTCTCTAATTGGTAAAAATCTCTTAAAAATACAAAGTTTTGTCCGAAGGACAGAAAATGCTGCGAAAATATAGAATGACTTATACAAAAATATCATTAATCGCAAATATTTTTGTGCCACCACTCGGGATGGGTTGGACATTTACATTTGTCCTTGTCCTACCGTCCGTGCGTCCGTTCTCATGTCGTGTCGCATGTAACTCTAAAAGCTCTTGAGCTTGAGTCAACAATCTTTACAGGAATGTTGATCATCAGTGGATTTATCAGAGATATTGCCCTTGACTTAAAAAACGTTACATTTTTTAACTTGTGTTGTGCTTAGCACAAAATGTATTTGACCTAGTCATGAAACTTTCAGAAATGTGGATCAGTATGTGTAGTTGTGCACCCTGGTTTTTTTGCATGTGGTTTTCTTTCAAAAGGTGTTGCGGACTTGTCCTTAACTAAGTAAAAAATGCAATCTTTAACTTGTGTCACGCTTAGACAAAACATATTTGACCTAAAGTCATGAAATTTTACAAAAATATTGGCCAGCATGTGTATTTGTTCACCTGTTTATTATTCAGATCTATAGAATAATTGCCCCAACTCAGTAAAAGATTTGCAATTTCCAACTTGTGTCTTTATTGTGTTGCCAAAACATTATTTGACCTAGAAACATGAAAATTTACAAGACTGCGGTTGGTAAAAATGTCAACACTGGAACAATTAAATGTCGTTGATATGCCCCACCTACTTTTCAAGGGGTCTTGTAAAATGTCCTTTGTCTGTCCCCCTGCCATAATGTTCTGCTGAATGTCAGTAGGTAGTGGAGAGTGGGGACAGCTGTGTCCTCTGGACACATTTCTAGTTTATCTATCTTAACTGTTGACTTTGTTATACGATTTCTATTTCATGTAAACAGAATTCCATTTTTTTCCCTGCTATGTTGCTTAACATGGTAAATACAGATGACAACACATACAAAACTGCGCATAATGTCACTTTAGGGGCTCCGTGAAATTGGTATGTATAAAAAAATATATGGATATTGTATATAAAAGCATGCACAAGTGAGCAATTAAATTCATAATGTGCAACAATAGAACTTGCATTTGTTTGAAATATAAACTTATGATATTGTTGGAACATATGATTTTATTTCGTGATAAATAAGACATGCTAAGAAATGTAACGCGTCATACGTACTGAACTGACAGTTTGGTCCAACACGATCAAACTGACACACACTGTCACAACTCCCTGAAACGATTTTATTTATTTCAAATTGATTATCTAAACGACGTCCAGACTGTTACAAATATTCAAAATAATGGCGTTAAATGCCTGTTTTAAGGTTTGAACACTTCGTGCATGAAAAAGATATATCTACTGTATCAAAATATTTAATAACAGTTAACACCTTGTGTAAATTTAGGACAAAACGCTAGCCTTTAAACCCCCATTTACGGAGAAGAGCAGGCTGGTATGCTTTAAGTTTATCGCCCAAGTTACTTAAAACACATAAAAGACGAACGATATTGAAATTATAACAGTGAAACAGTTACTAACTTTAAACTTGCATTCATATGATGAACGTCAACAAGTTGACAATGACATCGGAATTCGGCTTTTTAAAAATCTTTAAATTATCTCCTATAAGGAAACTGATAAATATAAGGAAAACTTACAATGGAGTTTTTCCTCACAGTAGTCATAAAATGAATCGTTTTTCCTTATTGGTATAAGTATATGTTCTTTTCATATATTTATTCTTTCCTTTTCAATTGTAACCCCCGAAAATACTAATCCCGAAAGCCAATTAAGTACTCAATCTTTATTACTTAAATCTCCATTAGAGACTCCAGGGACACCTGCCTATTACTCTCGCATTGCAAGTCTGACACATCTCCAAGACTTATGTTGTGATAACTATGCATTGCAGGTAAACCGGACGCAAAAAAATTGTGTAAAATCTATATTTTTGATTATTCGCGAAAGGAGTATAACTATTTTGGTGATAATTACAATGAGGTCATATGATAAATCTCCAGGGGAGAAAGACCTAAAGTGCCCCTCCATGTATTATGATAGGTAAGGACGGCTACCTGAGAAGAACCGAACGTAAGCGAGCTAGATATATTTCTCACATGAAAACATTAAAAGTCACAGGCGGGATTTGAAGAACCGGCAGTGGTGAGTGGCTTGCAAGAATGAAACACTGAGAAAACGAGAGAGAAAAAAAGAATTTGATATTCTGAAAATCTCAGTCAATATAGATAACATATCATCAGCTTTTCTTTAAAAATGACCAAAATAAAAAGGGTTTTTATTTACAAACACACATTTAAAGATTAAAATCTATTCTCACCAAAGTTCAAAATCACATTTCCTACTATCAAATATCCAAACAACTGCATAGTTAACACTATTGTTTCATCTTCTTTTCTATAGCTTTTATGACAAATTGGAAATCTTCACAAAGCAATCTTAATACTAGTAAGTTTTAAAACGTTATATCACAGTTCAAGTGCTTAACAGTCATTGGTTGAATGAAACCAGGAACAATAAACATTTACTAATGTTATTATCCTTTTTTTGGAAATATATATTACATTTGAGTATGTAAAGAAATTATACGTTTCAAGTTTAGATTCGCAATTATAAAATAACAAATAATTGAGACGCCTCAAAAGCTTTATTCACTATAACATTTGTCATCTGCTAATTTAAGACAGTTTGTATTTTTTTCTGTGCATTATTGTATATTACCAGTGTGCTCATTCGGTTAACAAAACACTTTATGAAGCAAGTGAAAATGTTCATCAGTAATATTTAACATACTAGTTACAAACTAATGAGATATTTCAGATTTTATCACGATATATATGTTAACCACGAGTTAACCCCTTTTTATTGTGGCCATTTAATCATTACTTAAATTTTTTTTAAATGTAATTATCTTAGTTATGTCTGACATAAAGCTTTCTTTTAAATAAAAATTTACTACTTGCGTTTATTTTATTAAGATTAATTTTTCTCGTATGATCACTTGAAATACTTAAACGTTTGTAAGTACCTGTCACCTGTCTCTCTCCAATGCAACAACGGACAACAACGGACAATGATATCAGAAAGTTTAAATTTAATCAATAAAATAATAATAGGTTTAGAGTATCGGATAATATGTAAGTCCAGCCATTAACACCTTATCTATTACTGCTGGGACAAAATGAAATATATCTTCAGGATTGAATAGTTTAAATCAACCAGCATTTTTATTTCTTCTTGTTTTTCCCCCTTTTTATAAGATAAAAACTGTATACGATAGAGGAAAGCTGTAGTTTAAGAAGCAATTACTATTTCGAAACGAAAACGAATATCGTGCATCTTAAATAGTTTATTCTTAAATTAACAAAGTATGTTCATTTCGAAAACAAAAACGCAAAAATCTTGTTTTTATAAAGTGCTTATTTCGTGTGTTTGTTTGGTTGTTTCATCATTGAATATTTTTTACATACCGAAATAAATAAACCAAATAGTAACAAAGAAAAAAAAGTTGATAAATACAAAAAATCAACAAACACTACAAAGGAAGCTACCTGTATTTTACTTGATAACGTTTGGTATAAATACATGTTTACCCTAAAACGAAACTACAGTTTCATACGTCAAAACATAAGTTGCCAATGAAATCAAAACAATATTTTCCACCTCGATAGTTTTCATTGCATATGACGGTATAAACAGACATGGGAATGCAGCATTAATGTTATTTATGTATGACTTAAAAAGTTGTCGGAAATGCATTATGTTAAAGGTATATCGGTGAAAATAATTGTCAATGTTATTAACATTTCCCTGTATTTAAACTGAAAGATTTGTCAAACTGTAAAAACATGTTTTTGTTATAAAAGCTGTCTTTTAGGTAGTCATGTTGAAACGATTTGAAGTTGTTTTGTGTGCCTAGATTCTTATATCAATGTATTAATTATTTTTTGTTTTTGTGATCTTTGCTTTTCAGATATTATGAGATTTACATTCCGGATAGGTCTTCATTATATATTTAGACTGCTCTGTGCAGCAACTGGGCGATAGAAAAGAATGTTTTACTTCAATTATACCCCATGATACCGGTGGCTCCACCGTGCCGGTGTATTAACATATCTCGCGATATTATGGTCAACGTCACCCACCGATTGCTTTTTTTGGCATGCTCTAGTAATATTTGTAAGTTTTTAAACATTTTGATGAGTTTCTGAAGAAAATATTTCACATATTCTACCTTATTTTTTTTTTTACTTCTCCTATTCGTCCATAGCATAAATCGGTATTTCTACAAAACACTTTTTTTCAAAAAAAGGACAGGTGCTGACGTCATTCATACCTCCATTATATGTCACTTGAGCTTTTGACATCATTTTTGGCGAGGGAAAATAATCTATGGAAAGCCTTTAGTGCATATAAAATAGTTTGTGGAAAATGAAAAGTCAGTTTCATTGAGTCTTTTAAATGAGTCTGTGTGAAATGCCATATTGATATTAAATCTTCATCATATAGACATAAAATAGATTCAATGATATAAAAGGACCAGAAAATCACAACAACATTAAAATTAAGTGAAGGGAATATTTAAATGAAGCCACGTGGTATAATATACACCTGTATTTGGGAGTAAGAGATTCGTAAACAGAGATCTTTTGGGAGTAATAAAAGATGATTAGTAAATTATTGAAACACATGATTTTTGTTTTTTAAAAGTTGTTATTTTTTCTTCAGATATGACTACAAGAATGCTAAATTGATATTTTCGCTATTAAAACTGCAATGGCTTTCCATATAATAACATTTTTACCACTGCACCGGTAGCATGGAGTCTGTTTAACTACTCATTACAAAATTGTGGACCATTGTTAACATTCGTAGTGAGCAAGAATTTCAGAGTAACAGAACTTTTCTGAAAAACCCCTTGTATAAAATATGTACATTGGTATCGTGGAGACCCCGGCTATGTATCAGGAGAGCCAAATATTGCAGTATTATAAAAATATCAAATCTTTTATCAATGATTCGAACCAGCGGTAAAAGTCAAATGATTGCAATACTTAATGTCAGTTGTCAGAAATCCAGTGGTCGATGGATCGACCCTCAGACGAGGCGTTATTTCTCCATGACAATTGATCTCTGATATTAATTATAATGGTCATGTGCCTCTTACCACTAATTAAGAAATCATTGCAGATAAGAAATCGGCTACTTGACATATGGAAAATGGTAGCTACTGGTTAATTATCAAGGAAATCTGGTTAGATAGATTAAAGTTCACATGAATACCAAGATAAATAATGAACACCGGTGGTAGAAGACGTAGACGGTAGTTTGCACTTGACATTTCCTTTCATGAACAGCCTCAAACAATACGGTACTGCAGTATTTTCTTTGCCGTTTTAGACATTTTTACGGATTCCTATGATAAGATTGATTTTACCGCATTTCAATTGTGTTCTACTTATGTTCACATTCATGCAGAAATCAAAGTAACGTATCACTTAATGAAATTATATATGTGTTAAAAAATATAAGAATGTTAATATTTTAGGCCGACCACACAATATTTGTACACACTGTATAAAATGCAGCTTTTATATTGTCTCTGTATTATTTGCATTTTGATTTAAGTGAGCTCAAAATGTTGTCAATTGTTATAATATCACTGAAGTATTTTGTTACTGATATGTTCTTTATAGATTTCTTTACATTAATTTCGAAACTTATAGTAAACTGTCAAATGTTTATAACGTCATTTAACTTGATTATCATTAGATTTCTTAACATTGATTTCGAAACTAATAGAAAACTGTCAAATGGTTCTGACGTTATTTCGCTTGATGTTATTTATAAGTTTTAAATATTTTCCGAAAAAAATAAAATCCTGTCAAATATTTTTGAGGTTATTTAGCTTGACGTATTACAGGAGAATGGTAATGTCTAAAGTCTTGAAGTGATTTTGTAACCGAATGTGTAAATTATAAGAATGTTGTGTTATAAAGAACTTTATTTTCAAGATGCTACTTTCTTCTGATATTGAAATTAAAAAGTAAAGCCTTTGAAACTATTACATTTGTTTATGGTTTGTCACTAAGACAATCAATACGATAATATATCACATTAATAAGTTCAGGTTAAAAAAATAGTATTGGTCGTGTTTAAGGTGTGGTTCATTAAGATAATCAACGTCTGGTTCATAACTTGTACCTTGAATTTTACTTAATGTATCATTTGTGTTACCATATGACTGTTCGTGACACTTTTATATAAACTTCATTGATCTTATTTATACATGCTTGTCATATTACTGCGGTTAAAATGCATACATTCTCGCAAAAGTAACCGGTAACTCGGATATGGGAGATGATGCATTAACATGCTTAAGAGGACAGTGCAACTGCTATCAACACTAAATAAGCTTGTAATAAAAGATGGAAGGTCATATTGTAAAACCGCGTTCTTTGGGCTTTGTGCGAATAACAGACTGCTACGCATTTGCAGGCATACTGCTACTTTTGTGTCTGAGACACTGCTGTGTATGTAACTGTCACACTACTATATATCTTACTGTAATACTGCTACGTATGCTACTGATATACGAATGAATGCGACGGACAAATCTTTTGCAGATATTGCTCATAATGCATATATTTGACTGACAAACTGCTACAAGTATGGCTGATATTAAACGGATGTGACTTAATCTAAGCATTATTCGTATTAGTAGAAGATACACTGTTATCTGCATGACAGGTATACTGCTACTTACGTAACTCAAATGCTGCTATATATTTTTCTAACTACTTTATATGTGATTATACACTGCTTTGTAACTAACAAAAATGCTTCGGATATCCTTTGTATGTGGTCGATAAGCTGCTACGTTTGTGACCGATAAACTGCTATATATGTAACTGACAACCTACGTATTAGACTGATATACTGCTGCGTATTTAGCTGATAAAATATAATAACAGGACACATCTCAATATCATTTAATAATTCCATTTTTAATAACTTTTATTACGTTACTAACATCTAAAATATGGTTAATGTCAACATGAATTTTGTTAATTTAGTTGTAAATAGAAACAAAAGCAATCATTATACAACGAATGACTTACTACGACAGTCCAAGACTGCATTCATCTTGGAAAATATAGACCAAGTTGCTGCAGTAATTTAAACATTTTATCATACGATTGGATACAAAAGTAGGCAAGTTGATTGATTCAATCATTTATTTCCTACTTCCTTCGTATATTCATTTATTTTTATTAATTTATTTATTAATCCATTCAACACATTTAAATTAACATGTAAAGGACATGGTGCAACGTAGGCAAGGTAACATGTATATTCGTACAAATATCATCATAACAATGCTGCAGTTAGAAGAAAAAGGCAGTACAAATATGTATTAATGAAATTTTATAAGGGGTATGTGAAGATAAAATCATATTTACATATGAATACTGTTTTAAAGTGGTGACATGGCCGAGTGGTAAACGGGTTTGACTGGTGTTGGACTGATGATACAAAATGTAATGGATTAAATATTAAAAATGTCTATAGGGGTATTACTCAAACGAAAGATTGAATACATGTCATGTAATTATAGTGTAATCAATATAACTTGTCAATTTCTTGAAGTATAACTTACATATAGAAATGTGTTAAAATAAATATCTAGTAAAATGGAAAAGTATGACTAGATTTATATAGTTACACCGAGAGGCATTGTTAAGCATAACAAATTAAAGCATTTAAAATGACATAGTCATTTCTAAGAAATGACGTTTGACATGAGTCTTGGAATAGCGATCCGGATAGGTAAGATCTATCCCCGAAATAGTTGTTGATAATTGCAAAAGGACATGCAAAGCGTATATTGAAAACTTCATAGCAAAATAAAATCAGAATTTCTTTCAAAAGATGTTTTACTGTATCTGGGAGCAGCTGCAAATCTTTGAACGCCTAGATAAACATACACCTTAAGCCGGTGCTAGAGTGTGTGAGAGGTGTTACATTATAATATGATGTTATCCATTTTATGAATTTAAAAAAAAAAACATGGCACAAAATCATTTGAGACCAGGAACTATATACATATATTATTATGTAGAAGCAGGTTTCTATGTAACATACACTTCAAAAAAGAAAATATAATTTTCAAAATACATTAATGACGTCTTCTTTACGTATAAACATTTTTAAAAGCAATTCTGTATAAATCACCTAGCAATTATAAGCAGAATTCTTTTCTTAAACTTGAGAATGTACATTAATACATACTTACACACACTAATTATATACATAGCTAATAGATATATATCTTTACCAGTATTTTACTCGATGTATGGCCTGAAATGTTCACACAGCAATGTAGTTACATGAACATTTTCAGACTTACACACCTAAACACAAAGCCCTTCCTTGTTGATCTTGTTTTTCATATTCAATGCAAAGCACATAAAAGTGTAAACAATAAAATAAATTGAAAGGTGTTAATAGGAAATTAAAATACAATTTTGAAAGACACGTATTCACACACTTTTGTAAAAGTAATGGTCATTCAAGTTGAATAGTTTCATATACTGCTTCGACATCTTTCGTATCGGGATTCACATCTGTGTATTGATGAGATTCATCGTCAATGGTATTTATGTTTATTCTCGCTAGTCCAGTTGTTGCTTCTGTTGCTAGTTCATACGTTACAGACTCTGTTTTATTCGTTTCATTTACATAAGCATCACCCTGGGTTCTAAAATATTCAACAATACCATTATACAATAATAATTCATTAAAAGGGAAATATAAGATTCAATATTGATTATAGGTTGTTAATACAAGTCTTCCAGGGATCACTATTGTCTAGATATTTATACATCACAACAGCAGGTGTAAAGTGTTGTGTGGCACCCGCAAAAAGGTGCCCCGTACATCATTTCAATCTTGCTATATTTTTCTGGTTCTTTTGAATCATTGAAGCCAAAACTTTTGAGTGTTGAGAATTGAGAACCGCAGACTCTAGTGCTAAGGGGTTTGAATGAAGTTGCATTTTTTTCATTATCCCTGATGTACAGACTCAATCAACCGAGTCTGCAATTGTCATGTAGTTTTGCTGTTTTTATGCTTCCGACTTTTTTTTCCAGATATTTGAACTTTGTTATGCCTTGAAGAAAACCAATATCAAAATAAAAAGGCAAAATAGCAACAAAAAATTGTAGTCTTTTTTGTTAAAAACAAAACCGAGCCAACCTTTTGCATATTCAATGCATCTTACACATTCGATTATATTGGATATGTTACAATTGTAAAAATTGGAAATATTTTAATATTCATATGTTATCAAATACTAAATTTTCATTAAACACCATGTAAAGATGTCGGTATCAAGGACAAATGTTATGTCATATCGGATTATAGCTAGATAATCTATGTTTAAATCACTCATTAATATAGTTTTATGAGACGAGAAACACTAAATTTACCTTCCGCTGAAACTGCCACTAGTCTCTTCTTTTTCTTTAAAATGAATTCAATAAATAAGGAAAATGAATGCATTCTAAAATATTGAAAACAATGCGCATATATTCATATGTGTCGCTTTTTATTTGATGAAATAATTTTAATGCATTAATATGTTATTTTTTAAAATACGTTACTTTTAACGAAATTTGAGTTTCATTTTCATGATGAAATTTCAATTAATTACAAATAATGTATATACGTGGATAAGTTTTTATATAGTTCAAACACGAAGATAAGTTTCATTAAACTTCTATTTTTCAAATAATATTATACTTTTTCTTACAGATTAAATGTTTTATGTAGTGACTTAAAGGATATAAACTCACCTTTTTGTTTCGTCTTACGTTTAAACAAGACAGTTATTACAGTAGCGTACACAGCAAGAATCACACAAAGGATTCCGACACATATCAATACTATTTTTAGCTTTAGTGTTTCTTGATATCTTGCTAACACTTCTGTGTCACTTAAAATCTTGTCTGAAACTGTATATTTTAAACACTATCACAAATATTGAGTTTATCAAATGTTTTGATATTTTGATTAAGTATGTTATGTGATATCTTCATCAGCAAATGACAGAATTTTATGTTTCTTATCATATGTGTGAATAAAAACTTAAATCTTCGAAGAAAAATACATGCAATAACATTTATATGCAATCAAGCGAGAGGAGCGTCTACAGTCTAAATACCTACAGAAAAGCACGTTTTTAGTATGCTTTCTTTAGCAGTATTTACTCCTCGGCGGTGTATATTCCATAAGTAACGACTAAATAACTTTATTTATGTCCTCATCATCATCATCGTCATTATTATTATTATTATTCAAATATTTTAGTATTATTTTATAATTATTATTATCATGATTATTATTATTATCATTATCATTTTTATTATTATTATTATTATTATTATTATTATTATTATTATTATTAATGTATTCTCAATGAAATATGTTTCACATTGCTTGCTTTGTATTAGTACTGACAGTGAGAAAAGGGCACAACGTTATGCATTTGAACAATTTTGAAGGAACAGGTTATCATCATGTTTTGCGTATCTTAATTGTTGACTTCAACGACTTCATTTCCTATATACATAACATAGCGTAAGATAAGAAGATACATATGTGATTTATAAAAATATACAGAAACTCCTTGATGAAGAAGGGTTTAACCCCTCGAAACGTTGCAGGTTTAAAACTTTGTGGAGTAGATATTTATAAATTAATTGTTTCCAGAATGATTTAAAATATTAAATGAAAATTGTTAGCCTATCATGCTGTAAATACATTAGATACGTCTAGACTGTTATTTCTAAATTCTCATTGTAAAAAGAAACAACAACAAAAGTGAACTAAAGTTACCCTTTTCACAGAAATGACCCGTCCAAAATTGACGGCACTCATCACACGTCCCGTTAATTTTATTACAAATTCCTTTACAGTTGTCACTGCAGATAAATAGACAGGAATTACCGTATGTTCCATCTTCGCATTCTTGAAAAAAGAAAATGCCAATTTAAACATTGTTTTAATAACTCAAGTATGATATATGCAATGTTTATCTAAATATAAACAAAACGTTTGTAGCCGTTAAACGAATCATTATGAATTTTTGATGGCCTCTACCACTTTGTGCAATGAAGGGTTTTTAGGTTATGTTTCGGATAAGACTTTTCTTTGGCACAACAATCGCCTGAATGTCCTCTTCCACTGTGTGCACTTTAAACCAATTATGTTCAAGGGTTTTCAGGTTATGCTTCGGACAAGATTTTTTCTACAAGGGGATATAATCTTAAAACGGGGCAATGTAGAGTAATGGTATTTTTGCACTGCATTCCGCCTGAATGCCCTCTATAACTGTGTGCAGTTTAAACAAATTACTTTTAAGGGTTTTCATGTTATGCACCGGATAAGAGTTTTCTAAAAGGGGAGATAATTCTAAAACGGGGCAAAATCAGAGATAAAATTCTTTGGCTCAATGCCTTCTACCACTGTGTGCAGTTTAAACAAATTATGTCTAAGGGTTTTCAGATTATGCTCCGAACAAGATTTTTCTAAAACGGGAGATAATTCAAAACTGCGCAAAATAGAGTTATGGTTCTGTTGCACTGTACACCGCCTTAATATCCTCTATCACTGTGTGTAGTTTAAACAAATTATGTCCAAGGTTTTTCAGGTTATACTTCAGAAAAAAAATTCTAACAGAGAAGATAATTAAAAATCGGGGAAAATAAAGTTATGGTTCTTTGGCATTGCACTCCGTCTAAATGCCCTCTGCCACTGTATGTCATAAACAAATTATGTCCAAGGGTTTTCAAGTTATGCTCCGGACAAGCACAACGGACTGACAGACGAACGAAGTGGCGACAATATGCCCTCCCTTTGGGGAGCATAAAATCGATCCTAAACAGCAATGAATTGTTCAAAATCTTATTTCAGTTTAGTAACTAGATTTGAACATTACCACAATTTTATGAAATATTCGAATGATTTCATATACACATTTATCGCTTCACACTCTAATACATATTTAAAAAAAATACCAGCGGTGCAATCTTTTGTCTTCTTATAACCAGCAGCACATCCATCTTGACAATATCCATTCACATGATTACATGGTCTCGTTAAACATTGCCCACACTCATTCGTACAGTTTATGCCCCATTTACCATCGTCACATTCTGTAAATATGTAAACTCTTTTATACAACAGGTAAATAAAAAGAGGAAAGGTATTATATTGGACTATACTTTAACTAGATTGAATATTTTTAAAGCAACATTAACGTAAACAAAGTCTCGCGTTATGAATATCGCACATTAATTTTAAAGTGTATTGTGTTTGAAATGTGGAATTCTGCTTAAGCAAGTCTAGGGGTACGGACGGTTGCTCACACTTACCACCTCAGGCCATGATTTTCAATTCTGTCTTAGGTGTTCTTAAGGTATTCTTACTAAAGACTCACTTCAAAAAGTTTCTCGTACCAATCTTTAACAGACATCAACAGAACATCCAGCTTGGTTTTAAAATAAATTAAATAAGCATGATATTAGTATATAACTATAAAAGTACAGCTAGATAAGACATATAAGATAAAATTTATCAAAACTAAATTGAAACAGCATACTTATGGAACATTGTGATCCCTGATATCCAGCTTCGCAACCATTTAAGCATGTGCCGTTCATTTTATCGCACAATGCATTCGCCCTTGGCGTTAAACAGTTGTTGCTGCATCTATCCTGACAGTTTTTGCCAAAGAATCCGTCGTCACATTCTGAGAGAAAAAATCGATTGGTCATTTTGTTTCATTTGAGTTAAAAAATAAAATAACAATTATTAGTCAATCTGCATTTAACAATATAAAATTATCACGGACTTTTGAGAACGTAAAAGTAACATTTAATAAAAACAAATCTATTCTACATGAAATTAAAGACACATCTGAATTTATGTTTAAATGTAAATGTTTGACGCTTTCGTCTTTAAAGCAGATATTAAATCGATTATTCCGAATAAAAATTCAAGATAATAGTGTAGCCCATTACTGATTCTTATCTAAAGGTATATTAAATATGATACTTAGAATACTTGTTTATCGTGACAAGAAGCAAATGTCAGAAGCTAATTTTGTGTCATGAACTTTTTAGCTCACCTGAGGACAATGTCCTCAAGGTGAGCTTTTGTGATGGCCCATAGTCCGTCGGCCTTCGTCCGTGCGACTGTTCCTGCATCAAAAATTTCTTTAAACAACTCGTCTTAAACTACATGGCAAAGTTTGTTGAAACTTTTCAGGGATGTTTCTTGCATGTCCCTCTACCAAAGTTGTTTAAAGAATTGAATGCCATGAAGAACTCTGGTTGTCATGGCAACCGAAATATTTTTTAACAAAAATCTTTATTTTGTTTTGTAAAAAACAAAAAAAAGCTATAGCTTAGATATTTGGTATGAAACATCTTCTAGTAGATGGCTACCAAGTTTGTTCAAATAAAAGCCATAGGGTCAAATTGACCCCGTCCCAGGGGGTCATTGATTTTCCAGATATGTTTATGGTAAAAACCTATTAAGAATATTCTTGTGACAATCCAAAAGCACTATAGATAAGATATTTAGCATCAAACATCTTCCGATTGATGTCCATCGAGTTTGTTCAAATAAATGCCCTAGGGTTGAAATTTGCCCCGCCCCAGAGGGCATTGATATTCCTTATATGTATATAGTAAAAAACTAAAACAAATCCTCTTGTGGCAATCTTAAAGAGCTAGAGTTAGATATATGGCATAAAAAATCTTCTAATGGATGTCTATCGAACATGTACCCCAAATTGTGCTTCTGTGGTGAAAAGGAGCTTCACTTTGACCTTTTGACCTATTTCTCTGGTAAGCGATCAAGGGCCCTCTGGGCCCTCTTGTTTAACTTAAATTTTCTTCTTAAAATTGCATTTATTAGTAGGATCATTTTAAAACTGTCAAAGATAGAAACTTGAAACTTTTAATACTTGGCTATTATGACAGTTGTCGTATAATAGTCTGTATTCTGACTGAAAGCAACATATATGTCATTGAGATACACTCCTTTTTAAATATTTAGAAAAAAAAGTTATTGACTGTGTTAACAATTTACAAACGAGCGTTCACAGCGCATCGATGCTGTTGTTTTAGAGAGGTAACAGAGCTGTTATAAACGGTGTCTGTATTATATCGCTGCAGTTGTTTCTATTAATTAAAACTAACTACATGTAATAAATATACCTAGCTTGCTATTTTATATAAAGAGTTGTCTTTCAAAATAGAAACTGTGCTGTAATATATCTTTATTTTATTTAATTTAAGATTCAGTCGAACAGAGAATGTCTTTATTACTCAGCAAATCTGAGTGCAATTATAATTTTCAAAAACTAACTTATTCCAATGTTTCAAGTTACACTTCGTTAGAAATTTCATAAGTAACCGACAGAAGAACGAGTTGTCATCTGATAAAAGAAACATCCATGTTTTTAGTAAATGAGCTTAAAACTTTCGGTGAAAATTGTCACGATGTTCGTTTGATGAGCAAATTAGACTTTTTTAGGGTTGTGTAAAATGACTTATACTGTGTTGTGGTTTACAAGATGTTTTTTACAACAAACTAAATAATACTAAAAACTGTAAGATTATATGTAAAACATGAACAGAATAATTGTTTAAATATATTTAACCGAAGAAATAATAATGATAATTATGTAAAAGACAATGTTTATGTAATCTGTTAATTAAACTATCTGAGGCTATTGTCCATGTTTTCTTGTTAATGTTAGTCTTGGTCTTCACTGTTCCTATTATCCAGTTTTTGAATTGTATAGGCTTTCCAACTTTATAAATTCATCTCTTTAAAATATGAACTATGTTCCAATTTATAAACTAAAATGACAACTTCCGTCAAGGAAAATCTTCGGATGTAAACTATAAACTTCCCAAAGGAATCTTCTTATAAAATGAAAATAATACAACAGAATATTAGGCTAGACGGTTGAAAACGAGATCCCTTAGAATTCCTTTGATTTTATCTGATCATAGCAAGTTAACCGCTAGTTCACCCTAGATTCCCCTAGAATTTGTCTGATACCTAATTGATAAAACTTGATGTTCTGGCTTGTATTATTAGAGCTTTTGTAAAAATAAAAATTGAAAGATTTTCTTGACATTATATTGTCATATATTATACACATTATTATGACGTAATGTGTACATTTCAAAGTTCATTTTAAGTCTTAATGTTTTACCTTAAAAGTCTCTACAACTAGTGCTGTAACTGGATTATATGTATTAAACAACCACACTCTCCAGTTTATGCACTGAATGCATTGGGTATACGAGATATCACAAACAATCTTTTAATAAATAGGTCATGTGATAAAAGCGATTGTTAAACAATAAGCGAATGTTGAAACATAAAAAACATAAAAATATTAATCATAATTATATATGATAACCGATATCTTTAGTTTTAGCCTTAACTAAAAGGTTGCATGGTAAAAAATATACTAAGTTTTCTTCTGTTAAAATCAAATATCAAAAGACAATTACTTACATTTTAATGATGTTTACCATTGGTGTCAAATTATTGCCCCAGAGACAGATTTCGTCCTGCCTCAGGGTCATTGGTTTTCCTTATAATATTTATTTAAACACTTTATAGATGTTCTTCGCTGAAGCGCCAAAGAATATAGACATTGAGCAAGGAACAATAACATAAGGCATTTTTAACGGACCACGAATGTCAAAATTATCACAATAATGTAAACGGGTTTCCTTTTATGTTAAATGTCCATTTAGTCTTCAACGTTCTTCTTTAAGTTCTTAAAATAATCAGCCTTGAAATTTAGTCTTA